AAAAAAAAAAAAAATGGAATAAAATTTAGTATTGAGAATTGTTTTGAAATTACTGTGCTAACTGCTGAAGACACTTAGCATTTAATTTTTAATTTTTGTGGATACATAATAGTTGTATACATTTATGAAGTATATGTGATATTTTGATACAAGCACTTAAGAGTTTTGTAAAATAAAGGTGGAAATCAGGGTACTATGTAGATAAAATGAGAAAAACAAATACTATAATACTATTATTGCTCGTGGCACTTTTCCCCACAAGTCTGATACTGCTAACCCAGAGTAGAAAGGCTTTCTATATTTTGTTTGTATATTAGGTTATTCAAAAAGCTTTTTCAAGGGAAAGCTCTACCGTGTTAGGTTTGTTCTTGTCTCAGCTACTTAAACGTCAGTTAGGAATAACTAGTGACTTGAAAGTATATGAACGTAATAGTAGCCTAGGCATAGTCTGAATTAATTTTATTAAAGTAAAATGTAAAATAGAATTATAAAATATAATCTCCCCACGGCCAAAGAGTAGTTAGACCTTCTTTAAAAACTACATACTAAATAGATTCTATATTATTATGTAGAGTTTAGTTTTTGTTTATTTTTAAAGAGCTGGTTATTTGGTATGTCAGTGTAATAGTCTGTTTCTCTTTTTGGCTTTTGAACTAAGGACAAAAATTATATACCTCTTTGCTATGTTGCTAATAATTAGTACCTGATGTTTAGTGATGGTATAATCTAGTTTATGGGTGTTGGCATTTATAACATTTCAATACTTTTTATAGCTATGGTCTAATGAATAATAAGGCAGTTCACAATTTCAAAGTGATTTTTTTTTTTTTTTTTTTGAGATGGAGTCTTGCTCTTTCCCCCTCCCTATGCTCTTGGCTCACTGCAACCTCTACGTCCGAGGCTCAAGCAATTCTCCTGCCTCAGCCTCCTAAGTAGCTGGGATTATAGGTGCCTGCCACCAATGCCTGGCTAATTTTTATATTTTCAGTAGAGACAGGGTTGGCTATGCTGGTCTGGAACTCCTGACCTCATATGATCTACCCGCCTTAGCTTCCTAAAGTGCCAGGATTATGGGAGTGAGCCACCATGGCTGGCCATAAAAGTGATTTCGGAAGAAAATGTGGTTAGTATACCTTAGGAAACTTCTGCTTGTGAGGCTATTGCAAAAACAGGTCACCAATCTAAAGTTTTTTTTTTTATGATAGCTAATTTTATTATATATTTAAATTTTGTTTTAATTTATCTGATGCAAAGGTTTTAAAATAAGTTTCAAGAACTTTTTATCATCAAAGCAGAAAAATAACGAGATGCTAGAAAAGGTAAATCAGAGTCCCCTCCAATGTGGAAATAGAAATTATATAAAATTTCATCTGAACTCCACCATCACTTGATGCTTTTACTTATGTATTTTAGAGACAGCATCTTGCTATGTTGTTCAGGCTAGTCTTGAACTGCTGACCTCAAACAATCCTCCTGCCTTGGCCTCCCAAAGTGCTGGAGTTACAGGCGGTAGCCACCATGGGCAGCCCCAGTCCAGGGTATATTTTTAAAGTGCAAGTTTTTAATAAGCAGTCCATCTTTACATTTGATGATTATAATGGTATTTGTGTTGCCATTTAGAAATAAAACTGGCATGTAAAAATGCCTTTTCAAGGAACAAAGGTTAGAAACTATTAAGATTATTAGGATAAGCTGCTTGCCACTATTGAGACATTTATCTTGGTGAATGACTAGGCTCATGTTTATAATGTCTATGTAACATTTAAATGTTGCAGAATCTCTGAGAAAGACATGGCAATTATGCATTGTGTTGTCATTTCAAAGATAGTTGAGGGTAATTTGTACTTTGGAGACTGATATTTGCCTAACTTTTAAATATTTCTTCCTAAAATTTTAATCTGTGTTGTGAAACTGTCCTTCCAGTTATGTTAGTCAAAATCTTGGTGTAATAAATCAGTCAAGTTACATTTTTTTTCTTTTGGTTAAGTTTTCTTTTTATAGGTATACGTATGTTTCATTCAATAGAAAAGTAATCTTCACTCCGTATAGAGTGAGCAAACCGCGTGCATAGAGTTTATGTTACTACGGATTTCACCTTGTGCCGGTATTGTGCTACTTTTTTCCCCTGATAAGTCAGAACTTCAACAGTTATTTGTTTTGATATTGTGCCCTACTTACAGTATAATTTAACGGAGGCTAACCTGGATTTTTTGGAAATGACATTTGAATGGCATTGTATTGCATTTTAATAAGGACTTAGCAGTGTTTTACTAGTAAGTTGACTTTCAGATACTGTAGTATCATTGTGCTTAAGAAAAGATTTAACCTTTTACAGTTTTTGATCTTCTCTTTTTATAATGGGATGGGTATTGGTAGCAGGAAAAGAAAGTGATTATCATCTGATAAAACCTATGAAGAGTATATCATATCTTTTTCACACAGATCAGATTTCTCTTGACTGAAGAGTTAATTTCTAAATGTTAATCTGTATTTTAAAAATGTTAATAATTTCTGGCATGTCCTAGCCTGATAAAAAAGTTTTTTTTTAAAACATGATTTATGCTAATATTATTTTGTTTTGTTTTGTTTCTCGAGTCGGGGAAAATATTCTGTCAATGGGTATTTGTATTGTTTTGTTTTTAAGAATTTCAGCTCTAGAATATACAGTTCTCATACCAAAATATGTAATGTCTTTAAGAATTCTAATGTTATTTAAGAATTTTGATGTTATTTAAAAATTTTAATGTTGTGTTTCTTTATAAATGTTTTTTTTTGTTTTGTTTCCATTTAGATCTCGAATATCTGATGCATGCAAAACAGCAGCTAGTAACCACAGCTAAGCGTTGGGATTCTTCCTCTAAGACTATTATAGATTTTGAACCTAATGAAACTACTGATTTGGAGAAGAGCCTTCTTATCAGATACCAAATTCCCCTCTCTGCTGACCAGCTATTTACCCAGTCCGTTTTAGACAAGTCATTGACCAAGACCAACTATCAGTCACGGTTACATGACCTTCTTTATATTGAGGAGATAGCCCAGTATAAAGAAATCAGCAAGTAAGTTACTTTAGAAACACTTTAAAACAAAAAGTCTCCCCTTTGGATGGTATTTTTAATCTTTGAAATGGAAGTGTGTGTAAGTGAAAACAGGAAGTAAGTGGTTGTTAATAACTGTTTCATCTTTAAATGAAATATGAGCTTATCCCTGTTATTTAATGCACAGTTCATTTCTATAAGACCTTACTAAACATCTATTAGGGGACAAGCTCTTTGCCACATGCCAGGAGTGTAAATCTGCCGTTCCTGCTCTTAAGGAGGAACTTGACTAAATATTTATTCAGTCAAGCACTGAATAAATATTTGTTGAACAAGGTATACAACAACTGAAAGAGACCACAAACTCGAAAAGTTGTTGTAAGAATGAGAGTATTTAGATTTTCAGGAAAACAGTTTGATAACAGAACAGCTTTATAGCAGTTTGTCAATACCTTAACAACTTTTACATTTTATCCATATGCCACAGGTTAAGAACAAGTGCTTAAATCAAAAGCTTATTTGAATTATTTTAGGAAAAATAATCTCAGAAAAGAAAGAGTGAGGGAAGATGCTAGTGAAATAGTTGTATTTCGTAGTAGCTTTCTATTAATACATTTTAGATTTAGAGACAAACCTTAAAAATTGCACCACAATTAGGAGGCCTGAATACATTATTATAAGTAGTTTTACTTTTAAATACAGCTGAGCTAGCATATTTTTCTTCTCCAGGATGCCTGATTGGTTCTTTGTCATTAGTATTATTAATAAATACTGAACACTCATTAAGAGTGTATTCAGAAAAGGAAAGTAAAAATTTACAGATACTTTGGTTACCCTGTTTATAGATTAGTTATGATCTAACTTTTGAAAATACCTAATTTCAAATTAAATACATGTAAAATTTACAAAGTCAGATGGAGTATATTTTTCATTACTCTAAGGCTTTAAATCCTGGCCCATTGATGGTCTCTTAAAAGGCTTTTATCAATTGTGTCTGTAGGCTGTTTTAATGAAATTATTAGTTATTAAATAAGAAGGACAGTGGCTTGTATCATATATATTATTTATATTATCTTGGATTCTTCTTCCTTAGGAAAGAACACCGTGATAAATCATAAATATTGGGATTAAATAGAATTTAAAAGTTTATCAGAATCCTGGAGACTATTTTTGAGTATCATAGTAGGAATTCAGAAAAAAAAATATATTAACATTTATTTGATATTTTATTAAAGTTTATAAATCATTTCATTACTTTAGAATGTGCAAGTAAAGCTCAAAAAGCTTGTGGATCATTATATTAAAAATAATCTCTTAAAAGTAGAAACTTGTCTGAATAGAAAAAAGAATCCCTACAAAATTGTAGAGGTTAAATACTGATCAAGTAACTAAGGCTGGCCGTGGTGGCTCAAACCTGTAATTGCAGCACTTTGGGAGGCTGAGGTGGGTGGATTGCTTGTGCTCAAGAGTATGAGACCAGCCTGGGCAACACAGTGAGACCTCGTCTCTACAAAAAGTTAAAAAATTAATGAGGTATGACATGTGCCGGCTACTCTGGGGCCTGAGGTAGGAGAATCACTTGAGCCCAGGAGGTCCAGGCTCCAGTGAGCTTTGATCACATCACTGGCTTGGTGAGAGTGCGAGACCCTGTTTCAAAAAAAAAAAAAAACAAAAAACAAATAGTTGAAAGTGCCCTCTGAGGGTACCTTGTAAGGGCTTTCATAGCCAGTCTGAGTCTTAAAAATATTAGCACTGATGGCAAGCTAAGTTGGTGTGATCCTTTTAAAAAACATTATTATAATTGAGACAGGGTCTGACTCTATCACGTCTAAGCTTTCTCTGTTTTTTAGTCTTTAGGTTGAGGTTGAAATGCAGTGATGCAGTTTTAGCTCACTGCAGCCTCAACCTCCCAGGCTTATTTAATCTTTAAAATGGAAGCCTACCTGGAGAGACTGAGTGGCTGAGACTGCAGGTGTGTGTCACCACAGCCGGCTTCATTTTGTATTTTTTGTAGAGATGGGGTTTTTGCCTAGGGCTGATCTAGAACTCCTAGGCTCAAGTGATCCACCCGCCTTGGCCTCCTGAGGTGCTGGGATTACAGGCATGAGTCAGTGTACCTGGCCTAGTTTGTGTGATCTAGCCGAAGAGTTGTTTGGCAATTTGTATCAAGGACTTTAAGTTTGAATCTTTTGGTGTGGAAATTCTACTTATGGGGAATCATAATGAAGAAATAATCAGAGTCAAAGATGTCTGGACACATGTCTTTTAAAGTAGTGAAGAATAAGTTAATTATGATACAGCTATATGATTGAATGTTATATAACTGTTGAAATTATGTTCTTGAAGAATTTTTAATACACTGATGACTCTCATGATATAATATTAGGGAAGAAAATATACTAGTTACAACACCTTATTGCCATTCTAATTTTATATAGACGCCTACACACATACGTGTATGCGTTTATGTATAAAAATACTGGAAAGAGTTAAAGCAAAATGTTCTGGTTGGTGGACTAACAGGTGATTTTTATGTTGTAATAGTTTTTTCTACTTTTGAAATGTTCTATAATGACCATATACTACTCTTACAATTAAGAAAATGTGAACAAGGAAATCTAAAGAAAACTGGTACATGATCAGTGGCAACACTTGATGGTCATGGTGTACAAAGGCCCTTAGGTATGAAAAGAAGAGATTGTGGTATGGCAGTGGTAAGATAGTGTATAGTATTTTTATAGGAACTTCTAAGCTTTCTCTGTTTTTTAATCTTTAAAGTTATATCATAGTTATTGACTCAAATAGGGATATTTATAAACTGAATGTAAATCAGCAGGATCACAATTGGTGTATTCTTTCCACAACTACACAAGAGTTTTGAAGGATCTTCAAGATAGAAATGTTAATTTATTGTGACCTGCCCAACATGTGACAAGTAGTTACTGTGCTAGAGAATTCTGGAATTTCTGGTGATACTCTCACCTAAAGGTAATCCTGGATATGAAGGCTGATAAATTAAACTTCTGAATTTGGCAGGCCTGTAAAAGTTAGTGAAGTACAGTGCAGAATTGGTATACATATAAAGAAACAGATCCTATAGTAATTAGATAGAGTTCTCTTAATGCATCTGTAAGCAAGTAGACATGGATTGTGAAGAATTTTCAGAAGTCTGTGACAGTTTTATATGTTGCTTAAAAGAGTATTTTGTTTTCTCCTTCGCTCTTTAAACTTAGTATTTATTTGCATTTTAATGTTGCCATGAATTTAATTTACTTTAATTCTTTAAGTATAAATAATGTAAGATATATTTAAACAAATTTGGGGGAGATCTCGATGCAGCTTCTAAGCTATGATCTAGAGCAGGGCTCAGTATCTTTTTCTGTAAAGGACCAGATAGTAAATATTTCAGGCTTTGAGAATTTCATACAGCAGGCCTGGTTGCATTTCTTCTTCTTCTTCTTCTTCTTTTTTTTTTTTTTTTAATCAGAACATGCATTTTATTATGAAAATTAAATCTTGCAGTGTAGTTCATAGCAATTAAAAATATTTTTTTAATGTTTTCTCTTTGCTCTGATAACAGATAAGATCTTAATATAGATTTCTCCTCCGGGATGCTATAGCTTGACAGAGCTTGAATCTACAGTTCTAATTTTTTTTTTTTTTAATTGCATTTTAGGTTTTGGGGTACCTGTGAAGAACATGCAAGGTTGTTGCATAGGTACACACTTGGCAGTGTGATTTGCTGCCTTCCTCCCCTTCACCTGTATCTGG